TCTGTCTCAAAAAAAAAAAAAATCCCAATCAAAATTTTAAAATTTAAAAATTTAGCAAAACCAAAAAGATATATAGAATGTCTACAAATATATCAACCTCAAAAATGAAAAAAGGGGAAACCCTACCACCTATTAAGAATATTGGGTCTATGTATTAATTTGATAATTTTTGATGGCTGATGAGGGGCCTATGGGAGTTTATTATTATTCTTACTTTTATGTATCTGAGGTTTTCCATAATAATGTAAAAAGAATATTAAGTCCAGAGTTCAAAAGAAGTCAGTTTTAGAATTATAATTTTGGAAGTCAACAAAATAAAGATATTTAAAGCCATGGGACTGGATGATAACATTTACACAGAGAGAAAAGAGGACTGGGGACTAAAAAGTGAGCAACTCTTAATATTTTAAAGTTAGAAGGGGAAAATAAACTGAAGTAGACTGAGGCCGGAAAGGTAAAAGGAAAATCAGGAAAATGAGAAGTTTTAAAGCCCTAGAGAAGAAAATGTTTAAAAAATGTGGATGTAGCCAAGTGTGTCAAATGCTGCTCAAAGGCTAAAATGAGAATTGATCTATCGGATTTGTCAGATCGGAGGTTCAGACAACAGTTTGCGTTTTAAAAAAACAAATTAAATTTTCCTTGTGTATAGCATTCCAAAGGCTGTCCATTGCATTTAGAATAAAATTCACTGTTTATTGTGACCTACAAAACCGCACATAGTCTGTTCCTGTCTTCTCCAAATTTGTCTCCTACCACTCTTCCCCTAGTTCTTAAGCATCTTACATACTTGAGCTGTACAGCACACACAAATAAAAAATATTTTCCTTAGCTATTTTTATATTAAAAACATAAGAAGATGGTCAAAATATCAGAAGTGATGAATTTATCTCAGTCTGGGGCAGTACTTAATGTAAACTAGCTTGAACTGACCATTCCCCAACCTCAGTTGTAATCAAGTTCTTTAGCCCTAAACTGACCAAGGGAATGGCCATCAAAATCACTGGAGAATGTAAGTATTCACAGAAGCAAAGACCACAGGGGACAAACTAGGAGAAAAAAAGAAGCAACAGAGTGAGGGTGCCCCACCTTTATATCGGGGGACAGTTTGGATGTATTGTTCAGCAAATATCCATGCACTCTCTGACTGTTTGCAGAAGATAATTCTCTGCTTATTGCTTTTGGGTTCAGCCAAGTGACTTGCTTTCACCAATGGAGCATTAGTGAGATATGC